AGTGTCACACCACTCCTAGTAGATAGTTGCTTCGTTTTATCTAAATTAAACCTGATTTCTTTCAGATAAGCACTGTTGCTCCTTGTCCTATCACTACAGGCCTTGGTAGAAAGTTTCTCTCCATTGTTCTTATAAGCCTCCTTTAGGTACTGAAAGTCTTTAATAAGGTCTTGGCAGACCCTTCTCTTCTCCAGGCTGCACAACCCCAACTGTCTAAGCCTTCATAGGGGAGGTGTTCTATCCTGATAATTTTTGTGACCCTCCTTTGGACCTGATCCCACAGGTCCATGTCTTTCTGGTGCTGGAGACCCCAGAGATGAACACCATAGTCCAGGTGAGGTCTTACAATTTAGCAACAAGGATATTGTGTGGGAAATAATAATTTCCTAAAGAAATAATAGTTTTCCTTACATTATTACATATCTAATTGAGATCTGCAAAGTGGGTGAGCATCATGGTCATACTTTTTAAAACACCCGATTTAAAATGTGTGTGATGCTGAAACTAGTATTGTCACTAATAATTTCAGATTGTGTTTACTTGTGATAGCCTATGACTTGATGTTAATGTAATTTAAAGAGAGACAGAGAAGAGGGATCATCCTAGGTTAAAGGCGCAAACTTCCTTTGAGATTTTCCTCCCCTTCAGATTCTGGTATTGATATTTTCCTCATTCCACAACCTATTGTGGATGAGATAATTTAGTCATGCAAGGTTCCTGGAGTGCTAATCTGTGGTTTATAGAAACCTATACAGTAAGTATTACTGCAGATGAGAGACTCAAAGAACATTCAGCTGAAAACCTATATCCTGTTCCTGTATTTTGGAGATCTAGAATAACTTGCCTGCTTTCAAGTGCATCTGGTCAGAGCTAAAAGTCTCACTAGAATAATAGAAAATGTTGGAAAAGACTTCTAAGATCATCAAGTCCAACTGTTAACCGAACACCACCACGCCCACTAAACCATGTCCAGAAGTGCTGTGTCTACTACACATTTATTTAACACCTCCAAGGATGGTGACTCCACCACTTTCCTGGACAGCCTGTTCCAATGCTTGATGCCTCTTCCAGTAAATATTTTTTTCCTGTAAATTCTTAACAACAAATTGTTTGGGATTTCTGTTCTACTTCTTTGAGTATGACTTAACAGATTTTGTAGTTGGTTTGGTTTTGTGGCTGGTTTTATTTACTTCATGCAGGGAGGGTTGGCTTGTATCCAGAGGATAGCTCTTGGAGTATTCCCTTGCTGAAAATAGCTCAATTGTTGTACTGCTTTGCATCCAACATTATTTCAGAAAGGATATTCTCTAGAAAAACTAGTTAGAAAAACTAGCTAAACCTTTACATTTCCAGGAATATAAAGGTATTCAGTAGAAAGAAAATAATTCTTTACTCCTGTGTAATTTATTGGCTTTTGTTTAAGGCAGTTTTAACAAGTCTTTGAAATGTACAAGAATTTTACCGTAAGGCTGTGCTTGCCCAATAGTTATAGCTTTATCTTTCAGGGGTTGGAGAGGAAAAAAAACCAAACATCAAACAAAAAAGTGGATTAGGGTTTTCTGAAAGCCTTGAGTGATTAATGTTTAGTTGGCAAAATGTAAATACCTCTTTAATAGTAATACTGTGATTAAGGCTTTAAGAAATAAATCTCCTCTTTTCTAAAAGTACAGCTCTTTATCACTTTATCTAAGACATGTCATTCTTCTTCTCTGGAAGCTGCCACTTCTAAGTGTGATGTCTGTGGGAGTGATTAGTGCCTCTGATGTATTTTTAATCTTCATGGTACTTGTGATTAATCCATGCAAAAATACTACTATAAAAATGGTTTTTTCTCATTATTTTATGGAAGAGATTAAGTAGGAAAAAAACATCCCAGAACAGATAGAGTCAAAATAGGACTACGCCTTTCTCCTATAGGCTATTAAACCAGGCTTTCGTGTGTCTCAAAACAATTCTGGTATTCTTCTCTTTTCCTTATCGGTAACTTATTCTTACATTAATTGGTCACTGGGTGAGGTTTACAGTCTTTGAGAGAATAAATAGAGGGTCTATTTCTTCTCCCTTGTAGATGAGCATCTTAATTGTTTTATTCTAAAATCATGCTTCTGTCTTTCTAGTCCAATTAATCATGAATTCTTCCCTTGTATAGAGTTTCAGTAGAGGGCAGAGATGTCTTCTAGTTGGTTAAATAGGAAGCTCTTTATAAAGAGTATATACTGTGTGTTGCTATGAGGGTCAAGGTGTTAAATCTTTTAAGGTTAGAGAATTAATGTAGAACTATTATTGTGGATGAATAGCTCTTGCAGTTTTTTTAAAAGTTGGCTTTTACAGTCAGGTGCTCAAATTGGGGACATTAGGAGACTGATGCTTTTGAAAACTGGGTTTATGGGTAGTGCCTGATACATGACCATGCTGGTATGGAAGATTTTATAACCATCCACATGTCTGTAGCTTTTGGTCCCTGAACTTGATGGGCAAGGGTTTTTTTGATGCCTGTGAAGGGTCTTCATCTTGGATTTGGGCTTGTAATTCTGCATCATTCTGCTGGTGGACTTGGGTCCACTTCATAGAATCATAAAATGGTTTGGGTTGGCAGGGACCTTAAAGGTCATCTAGATCCAATGTCCCTGCATGGAGAGGTACACCTCCCACTAGATCAAGTTGCTCAGAGCCCCATCCAACCTGGCCTTGAACACTTTCAGGGAGTGGGGGGCATGTGTCTCACTACCTGTTTGGTGAAGAATTTCCTCCTAATGTCTAACCTAAATCTCCCCTCTTTCAGTTTTAATCCATGCACTCTTCCTCTTGCTGTAAGACCTAGTAAAAAGTCCCTCCCCAGCTTTCCTGTAGCCCCTTCAGATATTGGAAGGCTGCTATGAGGTCTCCTTGGACCCTTCTTTCTTCAGGCTGAACAACCCCAACTCTCAGCCTGTCTTCATAGGAGAGGTGTTCCAACCTTCTCATCATCTCTGTGGCATGCCTCTGGACTCTCTCCAGCAGCTCCATGTCCTTCTTATGTTGAAGGCTCCAGAACTGGACACAGTACTCCAGGTGGGGTCTCACGAGAGCAGAGTAGAGGAGGAGAATCACCTACCTTGACCTCCTGGACACACTTATTTTGAAGCAGCCCAGGACACGTTTGGTTTTCTGGACTGCAAGTGCACATTGCCAGCTGGCCTTGGTATGTTTCCATCATTCTTCCCTGAATGTCAAACTGGCCTTGGCTCATAGCCTTTAGGGCAATGAAGCAACAAGTCAAGGAAATCTTTTGTAAGCTAGAGTCATACTGCTTGTTATGCAGCTGTGTAAGCTTGCTATATAAAACAACTGTGGTATGCATTTAGAAAAAAAATGCACAAAGCCTTAATTCCACTGTAGGGCAAAACCTTTGATCCCCTCAACTTTGAGGTAAGCTGTATGTGAGCACACAGTAGCCAGACATCCTCCTTTGACCAGTGCATTCAGATGCTTTGATAAGGCAGTATGTTCAGGTGAGTTTCTGCATCTCTCTGCATCTGAGTGAGACTTCAGGTTTTCACATCCCTCCATATGGTATTATTTATGTGGTTCAATTTGCAGTTTCATTCTTTTTTTCAGTGGTATAAAATATGATTCCAAGAAGTTTAATTGAAGGGCATTTACTCCTACAGAACTGGGATATTAAGCATAGTGTTTCTGAAAGTACTTTAATGCCATTTTGAGCTCCTCCTTCCCTGCCATGGACACTGAGCACACACTATTAACATGTTTTCTGAAGGAAGCCACGTTCTTGTATGCAGTGTAGATGCACTGTCTTTGTAACAAAACTGGTAGGGTGGTATTTGTGGTACAGCTGGCAACTTGTTTTTTCATCAATTTCTTCTTCAACAACTAAGTCCAGATGTTTCCTGCCACTATGCAAACAATACATTATGTTGTTTGTATGAGTTTCTGTAGCTGAGAAAAATAACTGATAGTAATTATAGCTGAGTAATGTATAACTTGAGAATTCTGTAGTTGCCAGATGGTCATCTTCACTTCCATTAATGTTAATATAAATAATTATAAAGTCTTAGCCAGAAGGTTGGATTTAACTTGGTGTTCAACGATGTATTGCTTTTCCACACAGAGAATGACTTTACCTAATTAACACAAAATCCACAGTATTTTTTAAATTCAGTTGGCTGTTATTGCTTGTATGTTATAAATGTAAAGCTTCCTTATCTTCAGAAGGTGACAGGGTTTATAGTACCACCACAGATATCACAGTGCCCTCCTACAGTTTTTTTTATAGTCTATCATAGATTCATTTTGAGTTACTCTTTGAACTACTCAGCACCACTCTGTAGTTGAGAGCAATTTAGCAGCTTTGCTATCCCCCTAAAGGGTTGCTTAGGTACCTTTCCTATCTGCATCACCATATGTGCATATTTAGAGATAGTATTTACATGACAGGACTGTTGTGGCATAATCTTTGGACTAGTTCAGCTATCGCCTGTAGTGGCCAGTCTTTTTACTTGTCAGTCAACCATTTCCAGTTTCTGTGATTCATGTCTACAGAACTACTTTCTTCCTCTTGGCATTTTTTTTCAGTATCCCTGATGAACAAGTCCAGAGCTCTGGTTTGTTCCATCTGTGTACAGTGTTGAATTATAGTTCAGAGTCTTGTTGTACGTTTTGTTTATGTAATACAGTGTGGGGAATAACGATCAGATAAGGACATCTGCTGATTTACTGGTCAGATAATTCTGGGTGTGTACTGAAATAGTCCTTTTTTATTGAATTACTCTATTTTCCTTCTTTTTTATAGTCTCATGTAATTTCACCAGAATTCCCTTCCAAACTGTTCTAGTCACTTGGTGTGTTTAAATATAAATAAATATATATAAAAATGTGTAACTTATGGAGATACTTTGTGATTATACTTAATATTGTTTTAAATACCTTCTGATGATAATAGAAAAAAAATACTTCCTGTACTGTTATTTGACACTGTAATGTTCTGTTTTTTTATTTTCCAGCTGTATGGGGAAACTTTGTCAATATGAGGTAATGTATATCATTTTTGTTTCGAATATCCTTACCTGAAATAAATTCTCTTTCCCATTGACATGTGTCACTGTATATCAAGTAGGGAGAAAATAGAACAGCAGCTCAAACTGTTGTGTGGATAGTTGCTAAGCAGCTGATACAATTTTTTAAGTACAAGGTGTTCAGTCTCAAAAGGGGTTATATGTTTGCTGCAGATCTCACCCAGGATCTTACTCTCACTTCAGCATCTGCCTGTCTTTACACAGATTCCTCTTCTGGCTTTGGAGATGTTTTCAGGCATGTTGGTTAGCATAGCTGTGTACATAAGCTTGGATTCTGCTTTTCGTCAGCACAGATCTGACCATATCTCAGTGACAATGCAGGCTTAAACACTGAAGAGCAGCAGATCCTCCACTGCTTTGCATAATTATATTTCCATACCTAAATAAGAATTGTGGTTTTGAGGATTTTTCCTCCTCCACAATTAGTTGAGAGAGAATCTGATTGTTTAACTGCTGAAAAACAAAAAAAATCCTGTACTGCCCTCTCAGAATTTTTGCAGTTAGAAATAGAAAGGCATGCAAAACATGCAGATTTTCACACTTCTGCTTGTATATGAGTGTTAGTCCAATGGGAAAATTCACCAGAAAGACACAACTGACAAAGAAGGTGAAAAGAGTATTGGGACAGTCTGTTATTTAGAGGACAGAGTATTTCACGATGTTGTTTTGCTAGTGAAGGATTTTGGTAGTCTGTTGCCAAGCTTAGCAGCACAGTCAAGAAAACTTGAGGCAAAGTAAGAAAATTACTGGCCTATCTGTGGGCTTATTCACCCCGGACAGCTAACCCTGGGACCTGTTCCTGTCCCAGGCTGTCTGCTTTAATTTTCTTGGAGTTTTCCCTTCCTTGCTACAAAGTATTCAGCTGTTAGGCAAACAGCTGCTGAGCTACTGCAGCTTGCAAATGGAGATATTGTTTAGGTTATCATGTTATTGTGACCAGCAAACTATGGCAGTTTAGCAACTCTTAAATAAGGAGCTGAGCATTTCCAAAGGAAGAACAGGAACCTCAGAGAAAGGTTTAAGGAGGGCTGTTGGGCATGGGATCCAGTGTGTTCATTCCTTAATAATCTGTCCTTACCAATTCTGTCATTAACTGTATCAGACTACTTGAGGCATTCATTATAGAGCTATCAAGGGACAAAACTTTATTTTTGAAGGTCTGATGTTGGTCCTCAGCCAGTAAGATTTTTTTTAGGAAGAAGACCTCATTAAAAACTAAATTGCAGAGTACCAGTCTCTGAGTTTCAGGATTTGTGAATAAACAGCAGTAGGAGAGAACCTTTTTATGTTCTGAGGGGTTTTCCAAATTTTCCTTGCTCATTTAGCATAGAGGAAAGGCTATGTATTCCACAGATTGTTCACATAGCTTTTTGTAGATGTGTTATTTAGGAAAACATTTGAAAAATTCACAAGAATTACTTAATATTGTTTCCTCGTAGTAAATTAGCTTGAGGGTTTTTACTTGCCACTATTACAATAAGTTACAATTTCTTTTGAAAAAATGGTTCATGGGCTGTGTGTTGTAGTCTAGGAATTTACTGCACTCTGTGCTAATATGACAAAATTATTCTGATAAATGTAATTTTTGCCTCAGTAATAGACTGACCTGACTTTTTAGTAAGCGAGTTTTACAGAGGGATATGAAAGGAATCATTGCTCTGACTTCTAGCAGTGTGGCATATGTATATCTGCTTAACAAAGGATCTTCTGTTTCCCTAGGTGTAATGACTTCAGGTCCCAAGTAAAGGAGCTCTGTTTTATTTGAAAGAACTCCGTTTTATTTTGGACACCCATGAATCCTCTAGTATGCAAAAACTTACTACTGTGACATAAATAATTCCCCTTTCAGAAGATTTAATTGAAAAAAAATATGCAAACTTAAGGAAAATTGCATATTCTAGATGCAAGAGGTGAAATTTTAAAATTAAACACTCTATACCTGTAGAAGTTTACTCAAAGAATGAACACAGCTAATGGGGATACTTTACACATTTAGATGCTAGATAAGACGACACAGATTTGTGCAGGACAACTTCTTAGTACCATTTTCATAGTCCTTCACCCTTCAGTGTATATAAGCTTGGCTTAATTTCAAACAAGTATCATTTGTGTGCTAAGTCAGTACTGCCACTTGTCACTTAAGACAAATTTTGGTATACTGTTTTGTCAAACCAGGGCAGGTTTCTTTGTTTTTGTAAAAGTTCAGTCAAAGGTAAGACACATTTGCCTTTCTCTATTTTTGATTGAAATTACAGTTACAGTTGCGGTATTAAGAGAAGGTGTTTTGTTGGCATAGTTGTAGCATACAGTAAACAGAGCCTTCCAAATAGACATATAAGGCATAGTAAAGCTACATTCAAAAACATTTCTACCATAGTGCAGCTATTAGACACTTTTCTATAATTAAGTTAATGTTTTCTGTAGAATTAATGTTTTTTTGTTATCATCTTCATTGTTACTACTCCTTTGGCTTTGGCTCAGTTTTTGCCAAACTTGGTGGCAGGACTAGCTGATTTCAATAGGAATTAGACCATCTGCTGTAATTTGCTCTGTCTTTGAAATAATACAAATTTGGTGTTCTTGGAAGATAACTGTTTTAACAGGAAAAGCATGATGCAGGTGCAGTGCAGCAACCCTTGCTTAGATATGGATTATGTTTTTTTCTTTTCTTGCCAACAGGTCTCTTCAAGAAAATGGGGACCAGAAGGTGGAAAGTAAAATAGAGGAGGTGAGTTTGCTAATAGTTGTAGTCTGTTTTGTTTTGAGGACTCTATTTCACTCATTTCATATTGAAAGAATGTATTTAGTTCTATGTCATTACTCTCCATTCCACTAAAATAATTCAACACGTTGAGTTTGCATCTGTATATAAATTTTTGGACTGTTATTCACTATAGCAAAGTTTCTGAAACAGATTTGTGACTCTCCTAATTTTTTCCCTCTCAAACCTTTTTCTTTAAGTTTTCTTCTTTTCTGCTGTCTCATTTGCTACAAAGACTGTGATAAGAGTCCTCCTGAGAACTGTTTTTGTCACTGAAGGATATATACATTTTTTCCTCTGTCACTCTCACAAAATGTGAGACAGCAAGAAGCACACTGAAATTGCTTAAAAATCAATTGAAAGATGGTGTTTTAATTGCCTTTTTGCATTACTTTCTCTTTCATCCTTTTTTTTTTTCGTAAACATTACAACAAATATTCTGAAAATCCAGTTGTTTAAAAATGATCAAATGAATGAAATTCAACTAGTAGATCAGAGTTACTGTAAGGTCTGAAGTCAAGCATTTCTTTAAAGCTTTGGTTATGCAGTATCTTGAACCATCTGAATAAGCATAACTATTTCAAGAACTATTTGGTGCTCCACAGAGCTAGATATTTAATGAATGTAAATTACAGTACTGTATTTTCTCTTAATGTGAATATGCAGCCACTTCAGTTCATGAAGTTCCTGAATTGTCTAGCTCTAACCAGCAGTATTTATACAAAGCAGACTAATGCTGGCTGGTGATGTGTTGCTATATAGTACCATTTCAAGTGATAACTTTCTGAGAGTTTTGAGCTTTTTTATGGTCCTAGATGGTAAATTTTGTGACAAGGTTTTAGTAAACTTAAAAAGAAGAGTTCAAGGACTTATTGAAAATTGACAGGACTGTTAGAAATTTTGGTCCTGTGAAAGAGACCCTGAAACTGATGCTGGCTTAAGTGATTATCTTTTTCAAAGCAGTGAAAAAGCAAACAGAAGTCCTGGTTGGTGAACTATATTTTCTAACAAATTTCCTTTAAACCTTTTTTTAAAGCCTGGTTATATCCTCAAATCATGATGTAATATGTATATTAGATTTTTGAACATGTTTCTTTAATTTCACAAACCATGTTCTCAGAGAACTACAGCCTTTGTACTGGAGCTAATGCCTGTATTTCTGTGTTTGTGTACTCTTAATTTTGTGTATCTGCTGTCCATTGAAATGTTTGAGGTTTTACTGAATGTCCTGTTGTGCTGTGGCTCAATATAGGTTGCCTTTGACAACCTCAAACAAGTCACTTATGACTTTACTTCGTCAAATAGGATTTAATATATTGGATGTTCTTATAAACAAGGTTATGGTAATCATTGCCTTGAAGTGTTTTGTTTTCAGTGATAAACTAAGGGATTTCACACTACTAGGTGATTTGATTTTTGGTGTACAAGGTTCTAGGACTTTTTGACATGAAAGGTGTTTTAAGATGCAAGCTTCTTGGAATGTCTTCAGTGAAGCTCTTCATAGGAGACTGTTTACCATGGGTTTTGTTCTCTAGTGACTTCCTAAATGCATGTTTTGGGATGTGGATCCTTTTCTGTTCTTCAGAGATTAAATATTATTCTTTTATTTTAGGCTGTTGCACCTCTAAGGGAGAAAATCAAAGATCTAGAAAAAAGGTATGCCTTTTTTTGCAAAACTTGGGAAGCAGATAAAAAGCACAGTTTCTGTTCTCTAGTGGTCAGTTCTGTAGTTGTAGGCTTGAGATAAATGTTTTGCTTATGCTTTCAGTGCCTTTGGATTTTTGTCATATCTAAGTAGGGTAGGCCCTTGAATTCTTCAAGACATTAACGCTTAAGGTATTCAGATTGATTAATCCCACTAAAGTAAACTGGAAGTGCTAGTTTTTTATAAAGTTCAAATCCAGTGGAGGAATTTGCTGGTTTGAGTCCTGCTGGTGAGCAGATTACCATAGTTTAGGACGTCCAACCTAGATGTGTGCTAAAACAATGTTTTCAGCTTTGAGAGACTGCAAATATATTTTACATCGCATTTCCCACACTCATGATCACTACCATGGTTCAGCTGAAGTACAGTGATTTGTTTGTGAATCTTAGCCTGTTCATGTGCTTTGGATAAACCCAACTGACTCACTCTCAGGATTTGTAACGGAATGTGATGTGTTGAATTAAACTGGATGATGCAATTAAGGAAAAGCAGACAAGCTTTTTGATGAGCTGCAGATATGTTGAATATATGCTGTAGTTCCACAAGCACCTTAAATTGACATAGTTATTAAAAAAAAAAAATCCAGGCCTGATCCATTTCTGCTTGACTGCTTGTGTCTGTCCTGCAACGTTTTCTTGCTTTTAAGCCAGCAGAATATTTGAGTGCTGCTAGTAAGGTGGATGTGGAAACTATGCATTTCAGTCTCCCTTTGCAAATAATTCTCTTGCTTGCCATGCTGGTTGTCTTTCTGCCAGATGAGTTCTTTCATCTGAGAGTTCTCATGGGCAGATGCTTTTCAACACAAAATGAAGTCTGGAACAGGAGTGGGAATCGTCAGCTCTGACAAGGATACTGCTGCTTTTGACAGTGATACTGTTTCAGAAGTGGTACTGTTGATGTCCCAAGCAAACTGCTAGCCAAGAATGATACATTACAAAGGGCCAAGTCAAGTTTGCCAAGCAGTACCAGTAAGCCTGAATGGTTATTAATGGCATACAAGTGGCTGTGTGCTGTTTCTCTGGAGAGGGAAACAGAATCCTTTTGCTGTTATCCAGTGGTATGCTCAACACCTGCACTATTTTGGTATAAAAGCTGTCAGTTCTGTTTTTTCTAATTGATTTGAAAGATTCAGTGACCTGCCACATGCAATTTATTTTTGTGATCTGATTGCTCATCTCTCAATAGAAGCGTGAAATTCATGGATCGAACTAGGCAATGTATTGGCAACATGAAACCAGTTGCAGACTGCATCATCACCTGTAGTAGCTGTATGTCATACCATACCAATTATAGCTGTCAAATTAGAGAGTAAATATTACATGTTTAGATGAAATTGTTTATATCCTGTCTCAGTTCAATTGACTTATTTACTCTTTATTGATAACCCAGGATATCTTCAGCTTCTGTTGCTGGCAATTTAGGTATTTCCTCCTGCCATTCACAGAGGGCCTTTGTGCGAGAGTATCCTGCTTGGTTCTTTTTTAATAATTATCTTTTTTCAAATGAGAAATGGGTTTTCCTAGGAACCATCAAAATGCCCTTTTAATTTTGAGGAGTGGTTGCAGCGTATTGATGAACCTTGTTAAAAATGTCTAGCAATAAGAAGAAAGAACTAAAATGTTTTTTTACCTCTGTATGAGCTGATCTGGGAACTCTACTTTCACAAAATGTGGGCTTATGGGCCCTTTGGCCCATACAAAAATATGAGCTCTTATGGTTGTTGAGTTTTTTTCAAATAGTGTGACCATTTATCTGTGCTGGTTCAACTGTATGTGGATTGTTGCAATTAATATTTTTTTAATTTTATACCTATGTAAAGTGACAATAGCTACTCACTGTCAGATGCCTGAAGTCTGTTCCTGTTTGCAAAGCTTGCTCTCTACGGTAAAGTTTGGTGGTGTTTTTACCCCATAAGCTGATAAAACCTGAAAGCAAGCCACCATCGTACTTTTGGGAAGCAGGATAGACAAGAATTCCTTAATGCTGGTCTCATGACGAGATTGTTTAACTGAAGCTGAAGTTTGAAAGTTGTTTTAATAATTTGCACAGCAAAACTATTGCTGTGTAAGTCATCAAAGCAAGCATTAGGTCAAGATAAACTCAACGTTGCTGCCAAAAGATGAACGTGAAAGCTGGATCAGTTCCTAACTCCTGCCCACTATATCTAAATTAGTACTGTTGTAATGGAAGGAGCAAAAATGGTAGGGAAGACTCTCTGACAGCATTATTACTCCATGCTGGAATAACCTGAGCTTAAAATACTGGCCTTAAAAATGGAGAAAACTGACTTTTACCTTGTACTGTGTTACTTGACACTTCACTTTTTTTGAACTCCATAAGACTTTTGGTGGTGGTGGTGTATTTGCCTTTCTCTCACAGGAAGGCTGTTCTACATGTCTGCATTATATTTATGCACTGCTATTTCTATTGCTTCTCAGCTTAAATCAAAGAAACAACATTACCCTTAGTGACCCACATGGTGATTTAAGACAAGTCTAGGTAGCTTCTTATTTCAGTCTTCCTGTATGGATAACATTGGAAGATTCTGCTGCTGTATTCCCTTATCCAGGAAGCTGAAAATGGCTTTCACTCTGGGGTGGAAAATTGTCATGAGCACAGAAGCATCTCTGTTTTGCCTCTGGAGAATTCCTGTTGAGCCAGTACTGCAAGAGGCTTAGTGTCAGTTCAGTCAGTCTACTTGTGAATAGATGAAAATGGAGCCTCAGTGTGAAGTCTTGACATACATACCTCCTATGTGCTACATCCAATTGTATCTCTAAAATGTGGACCTACCAGAGGAGAAGAGTAACCATAGTTTGATTTCTGTCCAATGTCACACTGATAATTCAGTGAGAAAGACCTGAGCTATTACAATATTGTCAAGACTACAATGCTAATTACTGAAATAAATATTTAAAGTCTACACCTTTCCCACCTTCCTTTGAAGGAGTATTCTGAATGTAGAATGCATGCCAGTGGAGGGAGAAAGAAGTTAGCTCATTCCATGTCCATGAAATCATCCAAGGTTCTGAGAATCAGTATTAAGCTTGAGAGAGCACGTAGGATTTGTATCTCACGTAATTTATTTTAGGATGTTTAGTCTTTACTAAGTTCCTCTAAAGAAGGTGCAAAAAAAATAAAGTACCTTGAAGATGGTGAAAACTGTGGCAGTCTAGCTATTTCTGAGAAGAAAATTAGTTTTCATACTACATAAGCACTCCGGTAAAAAAAAAGTGAGGTATCTTCAAAAGACTTTCTCCAACATTCTGATTGTAAACTTTCATTGATTACTCTGAAACTCTTAAGGAGAATTAAAACTTTATATCCTAAACTTCACATTGAAGCTTTGCAGAGACATGTTTGAAATCAATGCAGTAAAGCAAAGCAACTTGTTTTCTTTTCCAGAAGTTTGATGAAGGTTGTTTGCTTTTTAAAACTTAAAAGTCCAGTTGCTGCTTGTATTTTGTTGTTTTGTTCTTTTGTGATGTTATGCATAGCACCAGTTCTGCTCTTAAAATACAGAAGTCAAGTAATTTATTCTAGAAAGTCATTAAGCAGAAATTTTGAAAGCACTTTTTACAGATCAATTTTTGTATTTCTCACAGCGGTTTTACAAAGCATAGGCATTTTCTTGTGTTGAACTTGAAGAGTGGGAGGTTGTCAGAGTAGTGTTTCAAATTTCAAAAGTATATATGTGAAAAAAGAAGCAAGGCTGAAACTTACCTGTTTTTTCTTCTTTGTTTTCATATGTTCTGTAGTTTCACCCAGAAATACCCACCAGTGAAATTTTTATCAGAAAAGGATCGTAAAAGAATCCTGGTAAGTCAGTATTTCCTCAGGGGTTGTTTTTGGAAGATAATAAAATAATAATAATAATTAAAAAAAGCTTGTATGTCATGTGCTGCATGGAGTTTAGAGTAGTACTTCATTTACTCTGTGTTGATGTTCTTGAATTCAAGAACACATAGATAATACATTTGGGTTCTTGTTTGAAGGTTTGACTTGCCATTTAAGCTTCTGCTTGTAGCATCTCAGGACTGCATTGCCAAGGGGTCTTTCACCTTGTGCTCCCAGATGGCTTAAACTTGCAGAGAATGGAAAATAGGCTATGGAGCTCTTAATATTACATTTTTAAAACTTTACATCTTCAAAATACTGGATATTTTTATTAAGTCTGTTGCTTCAACAGTGATAGCAAGTAGTTGGAATAGACGTGGTTTTGGTGACCTGGAGATGAATAGTGTTTTGGTGTGCAAGTACTTTGTAGAGTTTAAAAAAAAAGAGAGAGAAGGCCAAAAGTATCAGTGAGTTGTTTAGTTGTTACTTCTCTGTTGTGATTGGGGACTAGTTCAGTGAGAACTCACATGGGGTTTCACAAGCCTCCTGCCCACCTGGGCAGTTTTATTCTGTTAGAATGTTGCTGTCATAATCTTACAGGAAGAATGTTCTTTGAGTAGCTGAAGTCAGCTAATTGATAGACTTCACATGACACTTGAAAGTTTCTCAGGAGCAAAAACAAGAATCAGCAAGCCAAGTGAACTTTGCTAGATTATTTGCTTCATATTTCATTTATGCTGCATCCTTTCCTGGTATCCGTTTTAAATTCTGATTTTTCTCTGAATGCAATGTCCACAGCACTGACCTGAACAAACAGCAGCTCTAGCAGTTATTTTTTATTATACTGCATCTATTTGGAGATGGTTGCTAGAATGGGTGGCATTTCAGCTAGGACTGGATACTCTGGCACTTCGATCCCAAAGAGCTGAAGTCTGCATTGCGTTGTGCAGGATTTATCTACTTGCTCAGTTCTCTGCAGTGACTAGGACACAGGCTTCCATATGCAAGAGAGGGAATTCTGTTAATATTATATAGTGTTGACATTGGTCCAATCTGTTGTGTGGGTTTTTTTCTGAATAGACTGTGGTAAACTAGTTACAGCAGAAAAGCAAAACAAAAAAATTATTTCCATATGGGACATAAGTGTTTTGAATCTGGCAAAGAGAAAACTACCAGTAATATTTGTGTGTTTCAGTAGAAGCAGAAGTTACCAAGTATATTTGCACTACCAAGTAATTAAATATTTGTATTAATAATGTCTTGTTAAAGGCTGTCTACTTAAGCCCCAGGTGCTGGTGCTTCAATTCTGATGTGGAAAAGATTCATGTACAGTTAATGATGATGTATATCAATATGTCGTTGTGATTTGCCGGAAGTCATGTTTAGAAATTAAGTATATTGACCTTGTTTTTTTATGTGATTGTGGGAAGGTTATAACAGAGAGCTTCAGTTATAAATATTATTTTTTTTTTAATATAGCCTCAAGTAATGATAAAATTAATATATAAAATTGTTTACTTTTCCAGGGGAAATTCAGCTCCTTTTCCAAGTAGTTCTGTATCTAATACTTATGGAAGTGGTATGTTAATAAAGCTGTCATAGATTTACCATAAAAGCTACTTACAGTTTTAAAGTAATTGGAAACTTCTTTCCAGACATAATTGGCTTGTGCTCTTTTTTCCTTTTTTTTTTTTTTTTTTTTTTTTTTTTTTTTTAATTGAATAATTTTTTTAATGAATAAGTTCAATTCATGAAAAGAAAGTTTTGGTCCTGGTCATCACAAAAGGGCAAAACCCTTGAAACATTTGTCAAGGCTGCATCTCACTTCCAAATCAGGATAAGCTCATGGGAGAAGGTCTTCTATGCATATTATTTTTTTCTTGGAGGTGGTGTCACCTGGCAGAGGGCTGTTCTCACTCAGTGACTTCCCTTCTTCCATTGTTCATAGCATTCTGCCAGAAACCTTTCCTTCTGTCCTGGGATAGTGGGAGCCTTGAGTTTATTTCTTTTTTTCGAAGAGGGCTTCTTCCAAATCCTCTTTCTCCTTCAAATTTATTAAGGATTAATCACATATTGAATATGCCACAAGGAAGCCCTGATGAGCCCAAAAGAATACTAGATAGACCAATTGAATTATTATTTTATGAACTGGTACTTAAAATGTCTTTTACACACTGAGGGCCCTAAATTTTTTAAGAAGAAAAACAAGTGTGAGAATATAAGAAGTGGACATTCAAGTTTTTACAGAAGAGAACATGCAGTTGTCTTTTGTTCCTTACAGTTTTTGTTAGCTTTCTATTTGCCTTTGTGTTTCCTGTTTCTTTTTGATTGCTGTTGTTCATTTGTTTTTCATTTGTTGTTTTTTTTAATACATTATTTTATAATCTGGCCTTTTTCAATAGTGGATGGGGGGTAGTTTGCAGGATAAATGCTCAGACTTTGACTAGCACAAAAAAGAAAGAACTTCAGGCATCTACAGCCTTCTCCACACAACACTTTAGTCGTTGCAGCACAACATCCATTCATTAGATTCCTGCTTGATGATTTCATAATGTCCTTTTGTTGTTTGGATAGTTTTATGCAGCTGAAGAATGGAGATCAACAGTTGAATCATTTTCAAAATGTGAATATGATCATGTAGTCATCTAGTGTAGCTGATGCCACACAGGGATTTTACAATTCCCTTCATTCTTTGTAAGTGGTGATGTGTCATATCTGTGTGTGTTCTTGAAAACAACTTATGAAGTGCAGGGAAAATAATTGCTTCCATAGATGTCTGTCTGAATGTATCACACAACTTGCAGTTTTAATAATTGCTGCGTTGACTGCTTCGATACTGAGTTAGTGTTTGGTTTGTTTACTGTTAAAGACTGAGGTGCAGAAAGGGAAAAAATAACTTCCTTGCTTCTACATCTGCAATGGAACAAGAGTACAAGTCCTGAAGTATTTTATTTCTGCTTACTTCTTTGCAGTAAAACATCATAAAGTTCCAAGACAGGGAAATGGTGGATGTCAGGGCTAATGATATGCAAGGCTGGAAATAGGATGATAGGATGTGGGCTATGTATGTATTAAAACACAAAAGGAATAATTTCAGAATTATTTTGGTTTTAGCAAATGCTTCAAATGAGAGAACTTCAAGAACTTACTTTCATTGAACAATACGCGTCCTTCCTTCCTACTATGAGGATGAAAGAATCCGTAGTACTCGAACACTTATCTCTTCCACTTAAACCAGGCAAAAGCTGGTTTTGACATTTCTGATACTATAATTCTTCAGCAAAAATAAGCTGGCAATTTGTCGTCTCTTATCTGAGAAATGAGAATCGCAGCGAATTCTGCTCTTGCCTTTTTGCGTCTTTTTAGACTTTGCTGTCACATAAAAGGGCACAATTCAATTTTCAGGAAAAAAGGGAAAAAGTAATCTGAAAAAGAGATTTTGTTGATGTGAATAGTTAGCTGAACCTCTAGTCTGACAGTGACGAAATGTGTCAAGCATCTCTTGAAATCTGAAATGTTGTAAATATTGGATACAAATATTTAAGCATGGAAATGGAGTTGTTTCCTCTGGGGTAAGCAAAAACCTGAAAGCTACTGTTCTTCTGTCTTCATGTTTGTAGACTTTGTCTGGTGTTTCTGTAAAAAGAAAAAGAAATTTATACCAACTGTCCTAACGCAGATAACTGGAGGAGCAGGGTTTGTGGGTTCTCATCTTACTGACAAACTAATGATGGATGGCCATGAGGTTACAGTTGTGGACAACTTCTTTACGGGCAGGAAAAGAAATGTGGAGCACTGGATTGGTCATGAGAACTTCGAACTGATAAATCACGATGTCGTTGAGCCCCTGTACATTGAAGGTGAGTACTCCCTGCTTTGGTATCTGCACCTTGTTGTGCTTTACCCTCATTAAGTGTGTATGTCTGTAAAGAAATGAAATGTATGCACTGATTTCCAGAATGGTCTGTCTAATATCTGTATGCTTTGTTTCTTAGTAGCCTGATTTTTGTGACCAGTATGGAGTGAAAGGTTCACAGTGCTTTTGACTTTGACTGTGTGCCTGCAATAGCTTACTATACACACAGAACCTGTTGTCTAGATATGTCATGAACTAAGAAGTTTATTAGTTCAGGACTGCAGTTATGTTAGACAGTGTCCATACATCCTGCAGCTGTGTATGGTGAGTGGAGAGGAGGACAAGTCAGCTCACTTTCTTTAATTGCCTTGTGTGGAAAATATTGCTCTTTAAGTGGAAGCATTCTACAGCTGTAGAACAGGAAAACAGCAGTGTTTCCCAAATTTTCAACAAATAAATAGGAAAAAACCCTAAACAAAGAAAACACCAAACATTTGTCTTTGAAAAAGTGGAAGTTAGTCGACATCTAAACTACTGTAAACCCTAACTATTGTACCAGATTGTAAGAAAGCATTAACATAGCCATATTTGAGATAGATGCATTTATATGCTTCTTTAGGAGTGTGTAAGCATTGTAGTGTATCAATGAAAATGTTACACAATTTCACTGGTTCTGGTGGGTTTGCTCCATCCCTCTGAAACTTTGTAGTGATGTAGCTGTTTCACTTATTTAAACACAAATAAATCTGTGATTTTGTTTTTTATTGTTGATGGACTCTAGTGGATGGAATTTCACAGGGAAAATCTCTAGCAATTGCATGACTTGTATTATTGCTTGTGATGAATTCCTGACAACACTATTGACACGTGCTCCTTCTCTGCTCCGTCGACTGCAATAGGCAGTTACTGCCTGTTATTTTACTTCTAACTTCTACTTCTGCTGACAGGATAGTGGAATTTGGATCTGAACTGACTCAAGGGGCTAATAGCTTACACCTCAGTCAATTTAGTTTTTCTAATCCTGCCTAATTTTACCCTGCATTAACTTCTTTCTTTCAGACTGATTGCACTTGAGACCTTCTCAAAGAATTCTCATCATTGCTAATACTGTTGCCCAGTTACTAGGCAGTAATGTAAGAGAATTCTGAGATCCTTCAGCTGCCTCTCCCATCTTCTGCGTAATTAAGTCAGCAGTTCCCCGTTTTGTACTAATGACAAATTACAACATGTTGTTCAGTGAGCATATTGAATGTCTTCTCATCCTCCAACAGCATCAATTAAAGCTGACATGGCTAGATGTTACAATAAAATTAACTTGGATATACTGGTAAATTAACATGCTAAAATTTCACTTCAATGCAGAGTTTATGATCCAACATAGGAAACACTGAAAAAACAAACAACAAAACAAAGATAAAGCAGTGAGGGATAGTTACTGTAAAAACTTAAAAAGTTGGTATGTGGATCAGTAGTTCTTAGGCCTAGTTTCCTCCTTTTACTTTGAAATAGAGACTGGACTGACTGAAGTCATGAGAGAATATTTGTATCTAAAGAATTGTTGTACATTTGCCATCCTGTTTAAACAAGGTCATATAAGGATGCTTGATACTGAAATTCCAGAGAGAACAATCAGTAATTTATTTCTGAAGGAGACCTCATTTCTGATCTAGAAAGAACAATGTTTGCACTTTTGATATGGAAAGTGAGTTTAGTCTCAGGGTGCTTAGGATTCACTGAATCTCTGGGTGCGTATTTTCTTTAATGTATAAACATCACTATGAAGCTAAAATCTGCTTTACCTGAATCATTATCTTTGGTACATGACATGAAGTGTCAGTTGACATCCTTGGATCTTGATCTGGATTGGCCAGAAGCAGTAATAGATCACCTAAACACATTTTATTTCTCAGCCCTGGGGTACCTATAGTGCTGAATGACTTTCGTCTCCTCCACTAGGATTTCCTTTGCTTTAGCATTTGGAGAAGATGTCAGTGGAAAACTCACAAGGACATACAGCTTTCACTTAAGCTTTTTCGAGCAGAAAAACAAAGGCACAAAATAGTGTTAAAAAAAAATCTAGAAAGAAAATTTTCCAAACGATGCATGATAGTTTTATTTTGTTGCAGTTGACTTCTATGTTTTTAAAGTACTTAGGATTTTTAAAGATATTTTCATTTCAGCCTAACCCTTATGTTGAGTTTTAATCCACTAATAAATGGAAGGGGAGTGGTACAGGAGGGCAGTGTGCTTTTCAGGAAGATGGTATATAAAGAAAAGGATCTTATTACTGTTTTCTGTGTTATTTGCAAAAAAGCTGTAGAAATTTACCTTCACTTCTTTTTTGCCTGTAATTCTCTACATTCTTTGAGATTACAAGCACCCTAATATTGTTACTCGAGGGCACTGTAGCTCGTGTTCCTGCAAACTTCAGTGTAAAGACACACAGATTATTATTAGTTGTAGAATAAATAAAAAATGCTCGATCTGGTGTTACTGTGGTGTACCCCACTTCAAGGTAATAGATAGAATTGAATTTAAAACTACCAAATGAAATTTTAGGTTAAATAAATGTAGGACAGAAGTAATTTACTTAGTTTGCATAATAACTTGAGGTTTTATGCTGTCTTGTTTATACCCACCTTCACATCATAATTGAGTGTAGTTTTAGCTCTTATTTTTTAACACTTTTAAGCCACTGAAGTCTGTATTTCTGCTGTGAACTGTTGTACTTAAATATGTATTTCAAACAAAAAAACCCTGGAAACCAAGCAACAGCAAACAAACAGAAAACTACCAACAAACTCAAAAACCCAGCCTCCCAAGAAAACCCCAAAACACACACCTCACCAGACCCACAAAAAACCCAGACACAATAAAATAGAATCTAATTTCAAGATGATGTCATGACAAACTCCTAAAAAAATAAAATAATACCTATTACTTTTGAGGTCTGGTTATCAACTGTCATTAAGTTCATGCACCTTCTTGTCCACAGTAGCAACAGCAGTTGAATAAAACGGGAAGACAATGTCAGACAGGCATGCACATCCCCTATCCTTCCACTGGCATTTCTTCTTCTTACTTTTTCAGCAAACTTTGGAAGCCTTAAAACAATCTTTATGAGGTGATATATTTATGTTCCTTTTGCCCCCAGCCATCTCTTCAATCTGAAAGATGTCCCTCTCAGCTGACTTGTTTCACAGTTCACATTTAGGCCTTCAGTTTTGCTTTGGTTGGTTGTAAGGTTTTTGGTTTTTACCACTCCTTTCACAAGTTTGAAACAAAACCAAGCCTAAAAATGCCACAGATTTCCAATGCTTTGTCAACAGCAATTCAGTTGAACAGATTTCACTTCCCTAATGACAGATGCACAATATGTTTGGAATGCTTTTAGCATTACAACAAAAATGGTATAGCTTAAAGATCCTCTTCCCTTGGAAAGATGATCACAGTAGTCCTCAAGGCTTATGCTTTTAAGAGATTTTTCTTTTTCTTTCCAACTTAATTGGATTACACTGCCCACTTTGGTTTTGAACCATAAGAACAGAGTTGCAAAGTAGGAATTTTGCTGATGGCCACGAATGCTTCACTGCTTACACAGAAATCCTTGCTAGAATGTTTCTCCAGTACTTCTAAGATTGCAGTCTGTGGCAGCTGAAGATTAAATACTTTTTTTTTGGTCAGGGTAATGAAGAGTAGTTCCATTCTGATGCTCACAGACAGACAAATGTAAGTGCACTGCCTAGCTATTGAAGTGAGAAAAAAAAGAGTTTGTAAGTGGTAAATAAAAAAGAACTGTTTCATCACTTCTTTCCTGAGATGAATAGAAATAAATGATGTGAAGATGAGTTAAATAAAGGTGACTTTTATTATTTATTATTTTTCTTTATACCAGCAATGCAGTTTCTGGCTAATAATTTTTTAAATGTCAGCTGTTTTCAGTGACTGTTGCCAATGCAAAGGCAGTTTGGGTTTTATTTTGGAGCCTTCTGACTTTTACTAAGGAGCATTAAAAATTACGGAATACAAACATTCTGCAAGTTGAGACAACTGCAAGCATGTGACTTACACTGTGACAAGGACATTGGCTTTCAGAGTTTTCATTAGCTATGAAGTTGTTAATAACATGCACATATGTATAGAAAATAGTATTATTTATAGACCTGTAATAGAGCATGGGCTTGACTGGGACTGAAGATGCTTTATTTGTAAGGAGTTCACTGGCTTGTGGGTCTGAGTTGACCTTCAGGTCAAAACCAGGAGTCTCATGAAATTAGCCAAAAGAATTGACTGTAGCCTTTCGTATGAATAAGTCTTCCAGAAGTCAAAGATTGTAATAACATTTTACTGAACATTCTTCTGTGGTATCCCAGAATTGTTCCATCTTCAAGTCATTTCACAGGTAACTTAAGGCACACACCTCTTTTTTGTGTGTGTGTGCGCATGTTAATGTGTCTTTAGTACATTGTTGTGGGTTGGTTTTTTTTTTTGCTTCAGTACTTTCCAACACAGATTTTTCTCCCCCTAGTCTTCATTGCCTCTGCCAGATACTTAAATATTTTCAACTTGATGGTTTTAGGCCAGAATCAAGTACAGTGGTACCTGGGTTTCTGGTGAAGCTCTCCAAAACTGCTGCAATATGAGCAATATGGTAAATCTTTATAAAGTTATTCAAGGTGTCCCCAAGTTACAGGCAATATTTTAAACATTAGAACATTGAATTTGTATTTGAAGTCCTTTTTAGTTCGGTGCAACTTTTGTTGTTTTGTTTAGTCCGTCCCAGTGAAACCAGGACAAGTACGAATGTCTCATTTCACTGTGTCAGCTTCTCTGGCCTGACCTGCAGTAATGGAATTGGCATAGCTGTTCTTTACAAGAAAAGTTCATATATTGAAGCTGTAGAAACTTTTTTCTATGCTTCTGATCAAAGCTTTTCTGCCTAGTATTTCCTGACTAGCAAGTACTGTGATGGATGCAGGTGCTTAGTGGAGTTAGTGACCCGTT